TTTAATTTGCATTTCTCTGATGACAAGTGATGTGGAGCATCTTTTCATGTGTCTGTTGGCCATCTGAATTTCTTCTTTAGAGAACTGTCTATTCAGCTCCTCTGCCCATTTTTTAATTGGATTATTTGCTTTTTGTTTGTTGAGGCGTGTGAGCTCTTTATATATTTTGGATGTCAACCCTTTATCGGATCTGTCATTTATGAATATATTCTCCCATACTGTAGGATGCCTTTTTGTTCTATTGATGGTGTCCTTTGCTATACAGAAGCTTTTTAGTTTGATATAATCCCACTTGTTCATTTTTGCCTTTGTTTCCCTTGCCCAAGACCCTGTTGTGTTTGGGGTAGAGAGAAACTGCATACACTTTTAGCCCCTTCCTCTGAGCTGAGCTGAGCTGGGCCAGGCCAGCAGTAGGACGTGGGGGTGTCCTGGCCCTGAGGCACAGAAGACAGGCCTGCAGCCTCCCCCAAGCACTGCCTGGGGCTGGACGGCCTCATAGGGCCTGGCCCTGTGCCGCCAACAGCTGGATGTCTGCCAGGAAACTGAGCCAGTGAAGTGCCTCTCCTGCCACCGGCCCGTGAGTACTACCGCCAGGGGGCGCCCGCCTCTCTCCTGGTTCCGGTCCCTTCCCAGCCCCAACCCTGAGAGCCTGCGGGGCTCCAGACCCTTTGTTCAGATGCGCATCCTTTGCAAGGGGTACTGGCTCCCCTCCCCTCACCAGCCCTGTCTGGTGCCCTCCGAGTCCCAGGGACAGGGTCAGCTCCAGAAGGAAATGGATAGAAGGAAATTGAGGGGAAAAGCTGAATTTTGTGGGACTTCCTCATGCATGCTTTTCTAATTGAATACTTTTTTTTTTTTGAGGCCATCTCTCATGTTTATTGATCAAGTGGTTGTTAACAACAATAAAATTCTGTGTAGGGGACTCAATGCACAGTCATTAATCAACCCCAAGCCTATATTTCAACAGTCTCCAATCTTCTGAAGCATAACGAACAAGTTCTTACATGGTGAACAAGTCGAATACTTTTTCATTGAAGTGAAATTCACATAACATAAAATCAACCATTTTAAAGTGTACAGTTCAGTGGCTTTTAGTTCTTTCACAATGATGTGCAACCATCACCTCTAATTCCAAGACGTCTTTGTCTCCCCAGAGGGAACCAGACCCGCCGACTGTCACCCCCATTGCTCCCTCCCCTCCAGCCCCACACAACCATACTTTCTGTCTCTATCGATTTGCCTGTTCTGAACATTTCATGTAATAGAATCACAAAACATGTGGTTCTCTGTGTCTGGCTTCTTTCACTGGGCATCACGTTTTCAAGGTTCCCCCACACTGTCGTGTGTGTCAGGCTTCCTTCCACTTTATGGCTGAATAAATCCCCTTGTATGGACAGGCCACATGTTCTTTATCCATCTGTATGCTGGTGGACACATGGGTTGTTTTCACCCTTTTGCCTTTGTGATTAGTGCTGTGGACATGTGTGTATATGCATTTGTTTGAACACCTGTTTTGAATTCTGGGTGTAAATGTAGGCATAGTAGGTTTGGGTTATATGGTAACAGGCATTGCGTTACACGGTAAGTCTATGGTTAGCTTTTGGAGGAGCCACCAAACGAGACTCTTAAAATGGTTTGAGAGCCAGGCTCTTGGGATGCCCACGTCCCCGTGGTGCTAGCTGGCGCCTGCTGCCCTGCGGTGCTCTCCAGCCTACCTGAGCCCACGTTCCAGAAGGGGCTTTGGAGCTATAGCCAGAGTTTTTCTTTCAAACCACAGATATCTAGTTGCAGCATTATTTATAATATTAAAAAAAAGAGAAGTGAGAAGGAAACCACCTGAAGTGCTAAGCGAGTTGCAGTACATTCACACCAGCCCGCACAGTCACGTCGGAGGAGCGCCGTGGGGGGCAGCGCCTGAGACTGTGGGCGTGTCCCCTCTCCGGCTGTGCCGCCCCGCAGCAGCCCTGGCCACCTAGGGCTCTCAGGCGCTTTTAAGAGGGCTGATGTGATCGAGAAACTGTATTTCAAATTCAATTTAAATGCAGTTAATTTAAAAGTAAATTTAAATGGCCATGCGGCCAGCAGCTGCCGTACTGGACGGCACCAGCATGGAAGAGCATTTAATGACTGAAAAAAAACGTTTACAGTAACTTAAATGAAAAAATCAAGAAGTCTGCTGTGATCCTAAAATACTTAAGAAAATATGTAAATATGGAAAATTACTAGGACACATATCAAAATATTTGTCCTGTGGTTACAGTGCTTTTTTTTTTACTTATTTTTATTAAGGTATGATTGATATACACTCTTATGAAGGTTTCACATGATACAGTGCTTTTTAAAACTTGTACTTTTCTGTACTTTCAAGTGGACAATCAACGTGTATTACTTTATAATTTTATTGTGGCTGAAATGATACAGTAAAGTATGTAAATGTTCATTGTACAACCTGGTGAATTTTTACATGTACACACACCTTTGTAACCACCACTCAGATGAAGATGTAGATAGTTCCAGCTCCTCAGATGGCTGATGTTTTATTTTTATTTTTTTATTGAGGTAAAATACACATAACATGACCGTTTGAGAGTGAACAGGCCAGCGGCGTTTTGGTTCTCTGACAGTGCTGGAACGTCTGCCACCCCAGAAGGAGCCCAGTACTCAGGAGCACACGCCCCCCGTTCTCCCTCCCCCAGCCCCTGGCAACCTCCAATCTGCATCCTGTTTCTAGGATTTATCTATTCTGGTTTCACTCTTATAATCAGAACAATTGTTCTTTATGACTTAACAAAGATCCTCACGGCTGCTCAGAGCCCCTGCATGGAGCCTGGTGCTGTGGACAGTTCTGGATAGAAAGCGAGTTTGAGGGCAGGCTTCCTGGAGGAGGAGGGAACCTGGCAGCCTCCCTTGGCCCCGTGCACCTCCCACGTAGCTCTTGTCCAACAGGCACCTTACCACCATCCGCAAGGCCCACCTGCTGTCGAGGCTGCAGCCAGCCAGCGCCCACAGCTATGAGTACCTACAACAGCAGCAGGTAAGGTGAGCAGCTGGGGGCTGCCCTATGGAGCTGCCCAGGGGCTCAGGGGCCCTACAGAGATGTAAACCCTGGTCCCAGGCCCCAAGACTTCCCAGGGCATTGCCAGCCTTCTGCAAGGGAGGCCTTCCAGGCCCAGCATTGTGGCATCTATTATAAGCCAAGAACTGTTAGGGAGGGTCTCTCATCTAAATCTTACAACCCCTGCTTCCCACTGGAGGAAGGAAGGAATGACCAGCCTCAGCGAGGCTGCTGTGCAGGACACCCCCACCTTCCCTCACCTGACTCCTTGACATCAGGAGGTCAAGAGCATGCGCTTGGCTGGCCAGACCAGGGCTCCGGGGGTGGCTGAGGTCCCGGGGAACACAGGCCTCGGTTGGTTCCCTGCGCCCCAGGTGCCTGCCTGTATGCAGCCCACAGGCCTGCCCAGCAGTACAACCCAAACTTAAGCTGGAAGAAGCTCCAGCCTTCTTTCACCACTGGCCAGGCCCTTGGGCCTGACCCAAGGCTGCTCTGGGGTTGGGGGGGGTGGCTGCTGACCCCCCTGTCCTGTCCCAGGGAACAGCAGCAGCTGCAGGTCCAGGACCTCGGCCACCAGGAGGGGAGCCGGGACTCGCCGAGCCCCCAGGGGGATGAGGGTGACAGCCCTGGAAGCGACCTCAAGTTCAAGTCATACAACTTGTCAACACTCTACCCACACGGGGATCCCAAATGGTTGGATTATGACACTGTGAGTCTGGCAGCAGCCCGGGCAGTGGGCTACCCTGGGGAGGCCATGCTGTCTGCTGGGCCTCTGTGCTAGGGAGGCAGCCGAGGACACTTCTGACCCAGGGTCTGGGCTGCCCAGCAGGCTGAGGTGTGGATGGGATCCTGTACAAGGGCCGAATGACCAACCAGGACATGGCGTGGCCTGTGACCAGTGTGGAGAAGGAGCTGGCAAGTGAGTGGCGTTGCGCCTTCCTGGGCATCCCTGCCCCCGATTTACTGGGCAGCATGAGGAGATACGGGCAGGGCTCTGACTGGTTCATTGGTCCTCACACTGCTGCCTGCAAAGTAGGATCCTCCCGTATGCCAGGTGCAGCACCAGGCACCAGGGGGTGGGGGACAGCAGGGAGCAGAAACCATGTGCTGTCCCCCTGGGATCCTCACACAAGCAGAAGCAGACTGAGCAAACGGTCTGCCCAGGAGGGTCCGTGGCGCCGGACAGCAATGGAAAGCCGAGCCGCAGGGAGGGCCCTGGCGCTAGCACGGCCTGTGGGGAAGGGCACTGCGGAGGGAAGGCTGTCCCGTGGCCTTCCCAAAGGAGGGCGCTGGGCGTGAGGGAGAGTGGTGGCAAGGATGCTGGTCCAGGAGAGGGCCGGACACCTCCCTGCGGCCTCTGATGAGGGAGTAGGAGCTGCCTGGGTGAGGGGTCATAGGGGTGGTCCGGGAGCCCCAAAGTGGCCGGAGGCTAACTCCCACCTTGCGTATGCCTCCCCGCCCTGCTCTGCCCTCACCGACTTGAGATCTAAACACTAGACACGAAAGAAAAGGAAGGGGACCATTTATTGGGTGTGCTGGACAGAGGAAGTGCCCTGGGGCTGCCACAACCAGCCACCGCAGACGGGCTCCCGGTTGCGGAGATGCGCGGTCCCCAGTCCAGGACGCCGTGGGGCCATCCTTCCACCAGGGCACTGGGGGTGGGGGGGTCCCTCCAGCCTCTGCCTCCATCTCCACGCGGTCTTCTCTTTGGTCTCAAGGATGCTGACCGTGGGATTTAGGGCCCAGCTTACCTCAAGATGAGCTCATCTCAAGAAGCTTGTTACTTACACCTGCAAAGGCCCTTTCTCCAAAGAAGCACACTCACAGGTTCAGGGGGTGTATCTTCTTTGGGGCCATCATTCAACCCACTGGCCCAGGAGGCAGGACACCCTCTCGAGCCCCACATTGCCCGGGGCATGGATATGCCTGTGCAGCGCTCACGGGCTCCTGGACGAGGCTCTGCCGCTCCAGGTCCCCGGCAGTGGATGTGCTTGGACGGGGGTCAGACTGGGCTTCAGGGGTCTCCGGGCAGGAGAATAACGGAGGCTAATACGTCATGAGCCCCAGCTTCTTGCCAGGCGCTGCCCCCTTCCACCTTGCGACAGCCCCGGGAGGCCTCACAGAAATGAGCAGGTGAGGCCGCGTGCCTGGGGCAGGGGCCCTCATCCCCACTTACCCACCAGATAGGGTCCCTACCCACCCACCTCCCCGAGGGCTGTCACCCAGAGGGAGACCGCCTCCATGGAGTATCCATTCTCAAGCCTGTGCCGCGAACCCAGATGCCTCGCCCGCTTTATCCTGCATGAGGGTGGCAACATTGAACTATTGGAAGCCCGCCTGTGGCCAGATCTTTTGACCAATTTGTCCTTATTGCTCATTTATTTACTCAAAAGAACATTCTAATCCCAAACAGACTCAATATCTAAACCTAAACTGAGCTCCGCCCGGGTCCTGCTGGGTCCCCAGTGCATTCATCTGTTCACACCACTGTGCCCACGCGCCCTGCTGTGCACCGGGGCCACTGAGGGGCATCTGGCCAGCCTGTGCCCTCTGGATGCCTGCACTGTGGCCAGGGGCTCTGGCAGGCAGAGGAACGCCTGCTCCAGTGAGCAGTGCCCCCAGCAGGAGGGCGGTAGCTGTGCTGGGGCCGGCGGTCCACCTGCTGGGCTTTCAGACAATCTCCATGGAAGGAAGGCCGAGTACAGGCAGGACTCGGGCGGGACGAGGAGGCTGGCGAGAATGCCCCGGGAGGGGGTGGCAGCGGCCCAGAGGCAGGCAGATGGGAGGAGGGGGCTGGGGGGACTGCCTAAAGCCGGCTCCTGACCAGGCTGCTCCCCAGCTCTGACCCAGTAGGTGTGAGTTTCCCGTGGCTGTTGTAACAAGTTGCCGCGAACTGAGTGGCTTAAAACCCGAATTTATTTCATCTTGGTTCTGAAGATCAGAAATCCAAAATGGGTCTTACAAGGCTGAAATCAAGGTGTCAGTAGGGGCAGTTCCTTCTGAGGGGCCAGGGGAGGATCCCCTCCCTTGCCATTCCCACGTCCCAGAGGCACCCCACATTCCTGGTCCCTGTGCCCTCGCCCGCCTGCAGAGCACAGCCCTCCCGCCCCTGCTTCCATCGTGGCCTTTGACCCTCCGCCTCTGTCACAGGACCCCTGTGGCTGCCTCGGGCCACCCAGACACTCCAGGGCCGCCTCCCCCGGTCGAGATCCTTCACCTGGCCACAGCCGTGTAAGCGCAATGTTCACAGGTCTCCCCACCTCTGGGCCTCTGCCCACACCGTGTGCTATCCTGGAAACCCCGAGAACCCTCCTCATCTGCCAGGGCTTACGTGTCCCCTCCTGTTGGGAGCCTCCCGGCTCCTCTGCTTCTGGCTTCTGCACAGGTGGGAAAGCCACGGAGTAGAGCCCAGGAGGAGCAGGCGTGGGCGTCAGGTGGCAACTTCAGGTTTGAACCTGTGGAGTCCAAGGTGTCTATGGGACCCCAGGCAGAGTGCTGGGGCAGAGCTGGGTCCCCGGCCACACCGGGTTTCAGTTTTGAATCTGTGCCCTGGGCCTCCGTGCCGCCCCATGGAGGGAAGCAATGTGACAGTCTCACTTGTCAGCTGGTTGGCAGGTCCTGACCTGTGCCCCAGGCCAGCCCAGTGGGGAACTTCTGAGCAAACACTGCCAGCAAATGGCCAGGCCCCTGTCATTGGTGAGATGTGCCAACGGCCCCCAAGGCACTGCCACGGGGCTCAGGCCCTTCAGCTAGTCATTCCCTGGCCCTGGGTGGTGCCAGGGTGTTTGAAATGCCATTGGAGAGACCTGACAGTCAAAGTAAAGTTGCTTCCCCTTAGAGTTTTCACTCCGTAAGGGATGTTAAATGTAAATAAATAAATTCAACAAGTGAGTAGATGAAACATGGAAATGGGGTAGGGAATGGCCAGCAAAGGGGGGGGTCCCTGTCCAGCAGGTGGTCTGAAGGATGCCCGGAGGGAGGGCCAGTTGAGGTGGGGACCATCAGGAGACAGCCAGGGAAGGAGCAGCCAGGTGTCCCCATGGGAAGGAGCTTGCTGCCCCCAAAACTGTCCCCAGGCACCAGGCGCGCCCTTCCTTCCGGACCCCTGCACCTGCACCTGCTCAGCTGCCTGCAACTCCCTCCCTCCCTCCATCCACACTCTCAAGGCAGCTTTTCCCAGGAGTTCCCCCTTCTTCTTGTGCAGAGTGGCCTTTAGAATGGGTGGCCAGTCGTGGGGGTTCTTAGCTGGATGGGGAGAAGGGGATGTCTTGGGTTCAAAGGCAAAGGATGGGGCTGACCCCAAAAGACCACATATTGTGTGATTCCCCTTCTATGAAATGTCTGGAAGAAGCGGATCATGGAGACAGAAAGCACATGAGCAGCAGCCAGGGGCTGGGTGGGTGGGGATCGGGGAGTGGCTGCTTTGTGGGGACAGGGTCTCCTTTTGGGGGGTGAATATGTTCTAGAACTAGATACGGGGTGGTCGCACAACCTTGTGAATGAACTTAATGCCACTGAATTGTGTACTTTAAATAGTTAACGTTATGTGACTTTTATCTCCAAAAAAAAATATGCACGCACAAAAGATGAGGATGGGAAGCGGGGTGGTCTGCCCCAGGGGGAGTATCTAAAGAGCAGCCAGACAGGTAGCCTGTCACTGGTCCAGCCTCCCAAGCATTTCACCCATAACTTATTATGCTAAAATAACATCTCTGGCCTTGAGTTACTTTGAAAAAGCCTTTTTCTAATCCCTTAGTCTTGAGAAGCTCTAGGCTCTGGAAGGCAGGGAAGGGTGAATGTGGGGGTGGGGGCTGGGGAACAGCAGGTGTCACAAGAGTGAAATAGCCTTTGCAGGGGCCAGAGGACAGGACGGCAGCTCCGGGGTGGAGGAGCGCCCACCCACTCCTGTCTCCCCCCTTTTCTGCTAAGCTGAAGGTTCCGCACCCCCCACTCGAAGCCTGTATGACCGGGAGCACCCGAGCGCCTGTTTGGCATCATCTACCCCTGTGAGTACCTGCCCCCACTTGGGTACTGGCATGTCTCAGGAGCCCCCAGTCCCAGACTGGGCTCTCCTGCCCCACCTCATCCATCATTGACCTGCCCAGCCTGTGCCAGGGACTGAGAAGGCCCCTCAGGGGGTCCCCTCAGCACCTGGCTCCTTGGCTGGGGGGGCTCTCAGCCATCCTGGGCTCCTGCCCCACTCTTCAGCGGGGCTTCCTGGCCCGGGAGCTGTCCCCGGGGGCCCAGCCTGGTGTCTGTACCCCAGTGTCCAGCTGGCTGCAGGGGTAGGGTAAGGGAGCTGCTCATTCCCCGGGACCCTCTGCCAGCATCCCTGAGCCACGCTGTGGGCACTGAGCTCAGGACTCCTGTTCACATCACTGCACTTCACCACACTAGGGTCAGAGCTGGGACCTGAGCCCGACCCAGATCCCAGCCCCTGCCCTCCCAGGTCTGCCCACTTCAGCATCTACTCCTGGTGTCATCTATTCCAGGCCACCCCCCAGGAGGTTCAGTGTGCCTGGGACAGGGTGAGCCGCCAGGCTTGGGGCTTCTCCTCTCCCTGGGACGGGTGACCCTGTCAGGCCAGCCTCTCCCCAGAATGTCCTTGGTGCCCTCCCAGCCCTGCACCCCCGTGCCAGCATCTGCTCAGCCACCTCGAGAGCCCCCACCATGATGCCAGCTCGGCCTCCGTCTCTGTCACCCCTGCCACTAGTGCCACCACTGATGCCCTCTGTGCAAGATCCCCAGCAGGCCCCCAGGGCCCCAAGGCAGCCACGGCCTCTGCATGAGTCCTGAGCCAGCACACAGCCCGCCGAGGAGCCCACCAGCCCGGGAGCCATGAGCCCTGCGTCCGTCCCGTCACTCGCCATCTCTGGCTGCCCCTTCACTCCCGCACCTGCCAAGCCCTGGCCCTCAGCCTGGCCTGGGGAAGCTGCAGGGGCCCTGGGCCTGGGGGACGGGTCTCTAGGAGGGACTCATTTTGACCCAATGGCTGTTTATAATATACATATAAATACAACACACCCTTCTTATTCTTTCTTTCATGGAGAACACAGCCTATAGATTGAATTTCCACTAAGCCAATTTAATTCCTTGACCAATTTGCAGTACAACAATTCAGGTGGTTTTAAAAACAATCACTGAACTTTTTATTTTGCTGAAGTGATTTCATCAGAATCAGTTCCAATCCCAGCTACTGCAGCTGCACGTTCTCTTTGGGGGCCATTGTTTCTAACCAAGATCAGTTTTCTCATAGGGACCAGATTTTACAGCCTGTGTCCTTTGTGAGTGTTGAGTATTTCCACCAGTAATTACTGTTATGAGTTGGATATTTTAAGCGTGATTGTTTATACCCACCTCTTGGCGCACCCCGGAGGAAGAGCAGCGGCCCTGGCGCTCTCCCAGACGGCTCTGTCCCCCTCTCAGCTTCACACCTCCTCCCCTTCTGCTCCCTGACTCTGTCCAGCAGTCTCTCCTTTCTGCACTTCTGACACTTCTCTCACATTTCACAAAGACTAAAAAAATTTTTGCATGATTTTGGGGAATGACCTCCCTCCCCAGAACATCCAGTAGGAGCCCCTGGGACAACAGAGCGAGTCGGGGAGTTGGGAGGCAGGTGGGCTGTCCGGCGGGGGGCCAGGTCGCTGGCACAGAAGAGGATCCCTTGGACCTCGCAGCTGTCAGTCCGGGAACACCGCCTGCCCCCGTCCTAAGGGTCCCCTGGTCCCTCCCCCAGCTCCTCCCCTGTCACCACTGCCACGCTGACTTCTCTTTCCTTTCTTCAAGGACTGCGTCCAAACGAGGCCAAGCTCTTCCTGACCCAGGGGATTGTGTCCATGCTGCCTTGGGGGGCACTGGCCGGCACAATCCTGGCCCCTGGCTCTACCCCCATATGACAGATGAGTATTTGGGGCAGCTTCTCCCCAGAATAAAATCTCTTACTGTTCTGGCTGTGGATGAGAGTGCCTGGCCCTGGGCGCTCTGTGGAGGGTGGCCTCACCTGCCCCATGTGCTGGGCGGACCTGTGGGTCTGTCCTCGGGCCACCCCCCCCAGGTCAGCCTCCCAGAACCACATGGCTGAGTCTCAACAGAGAATCACAAGCACCCCCTCCACCAGCACATTTTCCCCTGTGGCGGAGTGCTCGGAGCTGTCCCAGGCCCGTGCAGTGGGCGGGCCAGGGTTCATGGGCAGGGATGATGGTGTGACTTGCCAGGATCGCACAGTGCGGCCTCAGGTCTGCGGCCCCCTACCCAGGATGCTGCGTGCCGTGTGCAGGTATAAGGACCCTGACTCCCATCACCCCGTCTCCCCTCTGCCTGACGCAGGACAGGGCTCAGGCAAATGGGGAGGCTGCCCCTGGGGAAGCACCTCATGCCAGGTGTGGGCAGGCTTGGTGTGTGGGGCTGCACTGTGTCCCAGCAGCCCGACACATGGGCACCCCTGGACACCAGGTGACACTCTCTCTGTGGCGACTATCAATCCCCACTTGGCCCACAAAGCTGCCTTCCAGCCACGTCTGAGGTTTACCAATGAATCCACAATCCCACGAATCTGAGCTTGAGTTGGTGCCTGAAGCCTAGGGAAGGTGAGTTTGGCCCAGGTGGGTCCCTGGGTAGCCATTTGCATCCTGACAGGCCTTCTAGGTGCTCTGGAAGCGGGGAACTGCAGGCCCAGCAGCAGCCTGAGGATGGTCCTGCCCCCGTGGGGATTGGGGGCAGGCCAGCTTTGGCCTGGTTCCAGGTGGGAGCTGCAGGCAGAATCCCTGCCAAGGACAGTGGCAGTCTCCCCCTTCCCAGTCCCACCCCCAGGAGGTGCAGGACCTGCAAGCACTGGACACTGGCCGGGAGGTGCAGGGGAAGGTGCTTAGGGGGCTTATGGTCAGCAGGGTGGGCAGCTCGGGAGCTGGGGGCCAGCCTCCTCCTCTGGAACGGGCCCACCGCGCCTGGCCTGGGGCACAGCAACAGGACCAGGGTGACCAACTGTCCTCGTCTGCCCGCGAGTCAGGGGGTCCCTAGAATTTCCAGTTTTAAGAGTAAGGTGACCTGAGCAAGGGGGGAGGGAGGCGTGTGGGCTGGCCTGGTGTGTGTGGCTGCACCATGAGCCAGGCAGGAAGGGGAGGAAGATGCCTCTTGCCAAGCAGACTGTCCACTTCAAGGGGCTGCTGGGATGCAGATGGTGGTCACCCTGCACCCCCAGCCCAGCCCCCAGCCCACTGACATGAGTGAGTCGCCTAACGTTCCCTCCCTTTCGAAGCCCATGAACTCACTAACTCTAAGGTATAAACATCCAACAGTGAACAAGTGTCGCAAACAAGATGATCTGCATTGGAAAAGGCCCCGCTGAGGCCCAGAGGCAGGCCACCAGCAGCTGGAAGTCAGGGCGCTGGGGTGAGGGCCTTCTGTGCAGGGGCCTTCTGTGCAGGAGGCTCGCAGGGACCCTGAAATCCACACACACTGGTCCCCCGTCACTGCTGTCTTGGCTGACTTGACCTCTGACTTTCACCGAGTTTGGGGCTCTAGACAGCGATCCATCAAACACACAACTGCTGAAGACAGGCATCTCTTCTCTCCCCTAGTTTGGGGCTCCCCCGGGACGCGTGGAAAGTGGCCCTGCTGACATTGGCCACTGTGGTTCCCTAGGAGACAAGAAACGGCCCCGGAAAGTGGAGAACTGCCGACGTCCTGCTGCGCCGCTGGCAAGTCCTCAGCCACTCTGGAGGTGCTCCCTTGCCACCCACCCCCTTGGGGGCTCAGCACCCCAGCCCCTAAAAAAGTAAAGTTCATTTGAAATACATGTATTTCCCAAACATAAGCCGTGGCTAAGCAACCAGAGACCTTTCCTAATGCAGGAATTGGAAATAGCCTTGCCTCAAAAGATTTTCTTTTGGCTGACCCAGGGGACTCCCTGGTGCCGGCACGAAAATGACAGGGGTCACAGCGCTCACCTGTGCTCGGGAGTCCTGCTGGGAAGAGCCCGCAGAGGCCTCAGGTCTGGTCTGCAGCCCGCTTGCTGGAACAGGTGGATGTCTGGCTGGCCACCGTGTGTTCTCAGAAAACCCTGCAAAGATCGCAGGGACCCTTGGTGGCCCTGAGCATCTCCTTCGTCCAAGAGAATCTTGCAGAACAAGCCCTTCTCTTCTCAAAGCTGTTTGAAGGAGGAGCCCTGCCTTCCCACAGAAGGCACTAGAGTCTCCATTCACCCAACCGGTGCTCCCTCCAGCCCCCGCAGCTCCTCCTGGTGTAAAGCAAGACCCTTTCAGAGGCTCCAGCCGATTCCCAGACGGGTGTTAGAAATGCTTATAATCCACAGGGGCCAGTGGGATGGGTGGGTTGACCAGGGAGCCAGCCTGGGTCCCCACCATCGTGATCAGCTTCAGCCAGTTGTGGCCTTGTCGGACCCTGGCCAGACGTTACAGATTTCAGACATAAGCCAGAAGTTAGGCTTTTCATGTAAACTCTCTTGATTGAAAATGTTGGCAGACAAGAGATGTAAAACACTGTGCATGCTGAACAGCACACGTCAGAGACTGACTTTGCAGACCTCTAAGGTGACCACGCCCCGAGGTTTGGACCCGACCAGCAAAGCATAAGCATCCACCAGTTGTCGTCTGGGGGGGCCAGACCTTCGCTCCCTGCCCGGCCACATCCTCTCTTCAGAAATGACCATGCAGAACCCAAATCACATTCTTTCAAGCAACTTCATGGATGCATGGATCCATGGATGAGTGGAATCTGGAAACAAAGTCGCTTGGAGCCTAAGTCTGGTGGAGAGGTAGGGGGTAGGCCCAGAAGAGGCCAGCCTTCGAGGTAAGACGGAGAGGTAACTTTGAGGTAGGAAGGCATCCCCAGGAGGTGCCTGAAATGAAGGACGGCTGAAGGTGGCTATAAATGTCTGTTGTTTGTACACGGCACCTCTGCTTTATAGGCAGTGTGTGCTTGAACATGTAGTGGATGGCTTCTGCCTCCTTCAGTTTTGCTTCTGAGCTTCCATGTTCTCCATGACACATGCATTTGGGGGCATGTCCCCTGCGTGGCCCACTTTTGCTGCCTTTCTCTTGCCTGTGAGATGCTCAGACCTGGGGCTTCCAGCACCTGGCAGGGCCTCTGTCCTGGTGGAAAGCCCGAGCCCCCGGACTCACTCCAGCCCTGCCCACTGTCCCAGTTCACCCTTGTCTGGGGCACTTACTAAAATCTGATTCCTGGGTCCTCTTCCAGAACAGTCGCCTCAAGCACCCAGGGGACACCCTTATGCTCCATATGTTTGGAGAGCATGAACAAGGTCGCTGTGAGGGGCATGTGCTGAATGGCTGCCCTGGAATCACCTGGGAGCTATTTTAGTTTTAATAACAGCTTTGGTGTATTATTGAGTCTATAAAGTTCACTCTTTTAAAGAGTATAATTCAGTAGCTTTTAATTTTTTCAAAAGTTGATCACCAATATCCTGGGGCATGTTTAAAATTACTGTCAGGGTCGCTCCCCAGAGATTCTGATGCCATGGGGTGGAGGAGCCTGTGGCCGGCTTGTCTTTTCTATGGAGCCCCCACAGGGATTCTGCCCTACAGGCAGCCATGGGAACCACAGGTGTAGAATGGGACACGTCACCTTATCTGCAACATGTTTGGCTATCACAACTGGGGGATACTCCTGGCACCTAGGGGGTTGGGGCCAGGATGCTGGCCTGGCCCACAGTGCAGGGACGGCCCCCACAGCAGACAGCGATCCAGCCCCAATGTCCAAAGTGGCTGGGTTGGAAAGCCAGGATCTACAGTAAGCCCACTCCTCCCCAGCCTGATGGGACCACCTGAGTGCCTCAGGCTCAGCCACAGTGGCTCCCGGCAGCAGGAACAGGCCTCATCGCCAACAGACCAGCACTTAGTAAAGACCTTGTGTAGGGACACTTCTCAAACTGGGCCAGAGGCCTCGCATCTCTAACAAGCCCCTGGTGGTGTCGCTGGTCGTCAGACCACACTTTGAATGTCAAGGCTGCAGTTCATTTACAGGCCACACACGAACCTGCCCTGGGTCGAGCCGCCCACTGCCACCTCTAACGGTGCGTCATCTCGTGTCGTGACACAGCCAGCCACCCAGGTCACCTGCTCACTGGTGACCGGGCACATTCACCACCACACGGCTGGTAACCCACTTTCTGCTGCATTTTCTACTTGAAGGGTGTGT